GACTTAAACAGTAAAGCTTTTGGCACTCAGATCCTGAGATCTGAAGTGGCTCAGCAGGCAGCCTCTGCATACAGTGATGCCGACTCTCACTTCCAGGTCTTGGTGTGATCCATCGGGTGTAGACTAAGGTAAGAGCTTTGGACAATTATGCTCCAGGAAAGCCTGTCATCCACCAGTTCCACATAGCTAACAAGAACACAACCTCTTCAAGAGCCCCACAATGGGATGAGTAACTTTTGTACAATATCCTTCATTATATTAGCAATAGCAAAAGTCAAATGGGTACTGGACTAAATTAAAGGATAAATAAGAGAATGAGGAAGTGTTTGTTTTTTGTTTTTTTGAGGAAGTTCTTTTATGTGCTGATACGGAAATACCTCAGACCTGTTATGTGGGGAAAAAAATGAAGTACAGAACAGCAGACATCAGCGATTTTCAAGGTAGGATCCAAGGACCCCTGAGAGTGCCCAAGATCCTTTCAGGGGGTCTGCTAGGTCCTCCCTTTCCAACTACATGTCTATGTGCAGCCAGATTTCCTTCTATTCCTCAGTTAAAAAACAAATCACAATAGACTGAATGCAGAAGCAGGAGAACCAGCTGTTTTCTATTAAACCATATGCTAACATTTTTTCAAATGTGAAAACGCTTTGCCTCACTGATTTTTGTTTTAAAGTATTTTTTATAAATTCTAGGTTTAAAATGTCACATTAGGTTTATCTTTTTTTTTTTAGTTTCTGAATTTTATAATATGATAAATATAACTCACATTTAAAAAGGTCTTTTGGGGGGTGGGGCACCTGGGTGGCTCAGTTGGTTAAGCATCTAGCTTCTGCCATCTGCCTTCAGCTCAGGTCATGATCTCTGGGTCCTGGGATCAAGCCCCACCTCAGGCTTCCTGCTCAGCAGAGAGTCAGCTTCTCTCTCTCTCCCTCACTCTGCCCCTCCCCACCACTTGTTCTCTAACAAAAAAATAAAAATAAAAAGCTCTTTGCGGGGCGCCTGGGTGGCTCAGCCGGTTAAGCATCTGCCTTTGGCTCAGGTCATGATCCTGGGGTCCCTGGATCAGACCCCACCCCACCCCCATCAGGCTCCCTGCCACGTGGGAAGTCTGCTTCTGCCTCTGCTCCTGCTCTCTCGCTCACTCGCTCTCTCTCAAATAATTAAAATCTTTTTAAAAATAAAAAATAAAAAGCTCTTTGGAGGCCTCCAAAAATTTAACAGCGTAAAAGGATCCTGAATCTAAAAAGTCTGAGTACCATGGGTGTATACACCACCCTTTGTGTAAAAAGGGGAGAAAAATATCTTTGTACTAGCTTATACATGCATGAAGGATTTCATGAAGGATAAACCAGTAGTGGTCGTGGTTAAGCAAAAAGAGAGTTGGAAATGGGCAGGTGGGAAAACTCCTTACTGAATCTCTCATTTTTTTAAAAAATTCTGGAGCTATGTATATGTATAGCCTATTAAAAAAAAAAAAAGTTTTAAAAAGAGCTGGAAGCAGCAGGGGTCAGCCTGGCAGTAGATGGGGACAAAGTCAGGCTGGAAAAGGGAAGGGCTGTGGTCTGTGTATGGAGTGTCTACCCTCCTCCACATCCAGAAATTGTCTCCAGGCAAAATTCTGAAGGATTCTTCTCTAAAGAGGTGAAACCAAGAGACCCAGGGCTTCTGGTATGAGATTCTTCATCTTAAACTATAACATGCAACCATGTATCACCATTTAATCAAAGTCTGCAATAGGTGAGGTAAACAGAAAAACTAGCCCAGAGGAAACCAAGGTAATTCAGGATCTAAAGAAAATTCAGTTTTTAAAAACAAAAAACACAAAATCATGCACCCCAAAATATTGGAGAAGTTACTGAACCCACACTGCCAAGTGGATCTGGTTGAGGATGATGATACCGTCAGTTTTCTAATTCTGAGAAGAATTACTGCACATGCCATTCATATGTTCGTGTGGAAATTATACCTTATTTATATGCATGCGGCAGAGAGAGAAAGAATGTGCTTTAGTATCAGATACAAACCCATTTCACTTACTACCTGTGTGCTCCTGAGAGAAGTATTTAACTTCTAAGCCTCAGTTTCATCCAGTATAGCCTGGATGATACCTGCCTTACAGTTACTGCAAGACTTTAATGAGTCATTGTTTTCTGATGTGGTAACACATTCCCCAGCACTTAGGGCATTCTCAGTAAGTGCCATTCTTATTGCCCATGATGCAGCAGAAATAGCTGACAGTATGTTACTGTAAAATAACCGAAAAAAAAAAGATTGGTGTTGCCAAAGTGGGGGGTGGGTGGTGGGAGAAATGGGGTAAGCTGTGTTTTATTTTTTAGTTTAAATAAATTTAAAAAAAAATAAAAGCCACAATGAAACATGCTTTATGGTTAATCATTTAATGTATTAACATTTTCACTTATAAACATACAATTTGCATATATAGGGAAAAACATGTTCTGTGGACACAAGAGAATACGAGAGACAGGGAAGCAATCAGAAAATAGATCAATTCTAGGGGGAAAAAACAGACCTGCATTCCAAGCCTGTGTCTACATAAACTTGGGAAGGAGAAAGAAAAATGAAACAGGATCGTAACTGATGTAGAAAATAAAGTTGGGACATTCATCTCAAACAAAGGAACGTCTCCTTATGATCCAGGTCTTGGGGCCTGGCCTGGCCTGTTTCAGGATGATCATCTGAAACACAGCCACTGGTCTCTCCCTTCTCTTTACTATGACCCTGAAGTGCACTCCAGGAATTAAAAGAACAATCGGATTGGCATGTGTGCAATGTCAGTGGCCAACTTCTTCCAGGTACATTATACAGAAGTACATATGAAAGCGAAACGCTTACTCACACCTGAACAAGTTCCTTCCACCTCATCTAACTTGTTGATTTAGGATTACCTAAATTGAGGTGATCACAGAGTTAACATCTTTGGAAGTTGGACCAGGGAAATGAAGTATCTCAGCCCATCTTTATAACTACTATGCATTTCATATCAGCATCAAGTCACTGGCAACAGTGAATTTCCAGACTCAACTATGTCTGCCCAATCGGGTGGGCCAACAGGGTGCACAACATGTGCTCAAGCTTCAATTCACACCTCCCCTTCTGTCAGTGGGTGGACTCTGCTTCCTGTGCATTTCAGGGACATAACTTAACAGTCTGTGGTTCCAGTAACTCCAAGTTCAAAATTAATACCCCAATGCAACATTAAAACTGTTTAATATTTTATTAGTAAAGCATCCAGCTCCAGTAATGACTACAATCTCAACAAAGCCATTCTTACTATATAGGATGTAAAATCATAAAAGCAACATTTTTAACCATCAAAACCAATGTTGTCACACATCATGTGGCAATTTTCTACCATCCCAAATATCCAAAGAGGTGACAGTCAAGTGCACCTCCTTTCAGCTAGATACAGACTACAGTGGCAGCAGGTTCACCAGAACCATCCAGTAAAGGTCGCTTAGCAGATGGCTTCATATGGAAATCTATTTAAGTCCGCTCAGAGATGGAATCAGTTGACCAGTAAAACAAATGAGCTATGTAAGTAATTGGCCACAGAAAATAAAAACATTCTGTGCCACTAAGAGCGTATTTTGTGGAAACAGGGCCACACGGAGTGCGAGGACAGGGACTATTACTGGGCTAAATTGCCTTGGTAGAAGTACATTTTTTAAAGCATGCAGGACAGAAAACTGGACTAATTAGAAGCTTTAAAAGTTCACATAAATAACAGAAGTGCAGGATTATGGGTTTTCCAGAGCTTCACACATAGCTGGGGCTCAAAATTAAATGTTTTAAGCTTCTCTGTGACACCTGAGTCAGGAATAAAAACAAAGCTGGCGCCCTGGTCAGGTTGACTAATATCTTGACAGCAAGTCATTCAAGTCCTTAGGCCTCATTTCCCATCTCTAACCTGAGTCTCCCCCACAGCCATGGTCCAAGAGCCCTCACTACGCCACCAACAGGGCTCCATGTGCCCCAGTCCTTGGGGACAGCCACAGTGCCCCAGTCCTGCACAAAACAGGACACCTGCTTTTTAACAGCCTTCAGAAAAATGGAAAAGAGCATCCTCTGCACAGTGCAATCTCTGGAGGCCTAACACAGTAACACTGTAACTATGACTCTCATTCCATTTTCCTCACCATTCTTCTAATAGCACTTTCTCAACAGGTAGAAAAATAAGCTATAAGTAGGCTGAGGTGGCAATAAAAATACTCAAAGCAGACACTGAAAACATAACGTCTCTGAATAAAGCAAACCTATCTCCACATACTTGTAACTGTTTTGCCTTCTTCAAGTTTTAAAGGATAAAGCCCTAAAACTTTGAGGCTCAAGTCAATTCCTAATGTGGGATATTTTCCAAGTATCGCTACCAAGAAAACAAAGAAGAAAATGAAGAAGCATCATTTTAAGGGAGAGGAGGGGGAGGGAGGGCTGCCCCTCCCCCATCATCCTGAGCAGTCACTGGCCCCATAGATCGTGGGAATACCAACCCCACTGCCTCAGGGAAGTTCCTGAGAGCTTACCAGCTCATAATTCCTGAAGTTACATGCAGCCAGTTCTGATCTGAGGCTTGAAAGTTTGATATTAAACAGAAAGAAGCTGCAGTTCTCCTTGCCACGTAACTCACTCATACATCACCATACTATTAACGTAACACTAAAGTAAACTGTCCCTTAAACACTACACCTAACTGAAAAGAAAATGCCTTTCAAAACAGGTATGTTCAAAATAAGGTATTCCGAGAGTTCTATAAACAAACTCCTGGAATGAGCCAGTGCCCCAGAGTCATGTTTTAGCTAAACAGAAATCAGAAGCCTTCTCTACAGTACGTGTATGGATTAGTTATAACTATGATGTCACCACTTTCAAAAGAACTATTCAAACTATTATTAAAAACATTTATCACCAACAGAAAACACCCTGCAAATTATAGTATTGCACACAGGGCATCAGAAGCTATGCACATCCAGATCTGAAGGACTCTAGAAGACCCAGAACAGAGACCCTAAGGCCATGCCTGTGGCTGCCCCAGCCAGCATGCCCAGTGCCAGATCACTGTCGCTGTCTCGATACCGCTCCCGAATGATGACTTGGTTGGCAGGCTGTTGTCCATAAAGTCCTAAAAAAGGAAGCAAAAAAGCAGACGTTGTAAGGAGCAGTTTAAGTCCAACATTCTCTCAGAAAGACAGTGTGGCCTGAGAATGGTAAAGGCCACATCTCCCTGCATGTGCATCCCTCCTGCTGTCTTCCTCTGGAGAGGTATGTGGGGTGGCTGAGTGGTTGCTCCCCAGCTCTCCTCCACCAAAGGCTCAGGTGACATATATATATATAAGACTATACCAAGAGGAAATCAAGGTGCTCAACCTTCCAACATCCAAAGCCCCAACCACTGCAAACAGCAGGATCCTAATGAAGCTCTAAGCTCCAGCTTCCAATGTGCACTTCTGCCTTCCACATCATGCTCATTAGTATGACAAGTAGATGGGGGAGATCGTGGGAGAGACACAGAGCCTACAGACAAGGCGAGAGCCAAGAATCTGTACCTAAAGCTAAAAGTGTAAAACCCATTTGAAAGCTAATTAGTTTCTTGATATTCATGCAAACCATTTTTAAATTAAACCTTAAATCTGCTAATACAATTCGCTCTTCATTTTTAATCATGTCCTTATGGGGGAAAATACTTAGAGGGAAAACTTCTAAAAAGCAAACTTTAAACACATTTAATATTTAATTTGCATAAGTTTACAACTGGAAATGTATCACTGAGCAAAGAGAACATCTTCTGTACTTCACAGCTATATTGTCTAACAGCTAATTAGCTTTAAAAATTACTCAAATACAAATAACGTTAAGTTTCCTCCCTGACCCGCTGTTCCCTTAACTATTCAGTCCTACGGGAGCTAGAAACTAATCCAACAGTAATGTATACATGTAGATGAAAACCAACAGCAAAATAAGATTTATAAGTGCTTATTACTCTAAGCATTTACAGTACTACAAGCATTTACGTGTACTGACTCACTTAATCCTCACAATATCCTTGTGAATTGAGTTTATTAATATCCCCATTTTACCAATGGCCAAAATAAGGCACACAGGGGTTAGAGGCTGTTAACGGCATGCAAACCCAGGCATTGGGCTACAAATTGTGCACTCAATAACCACTAATGCCTCAAACAGACGGAGAAGGATAGGAGAGAAAAAAACCCAAAGCCACAGAGGAGTAGAATGAGACCATTATAAACCCAAGGGCTGATCGAGTACAGGTAACAGCACTGGAAGTCAACAAACTTTTACACAATGTTTAAATCTCAAAATTGGTGAACTGTAATACTTACTTTTACAGCCTTGAAAGTTAAAAGTTTTCAATTAGGCAACTGTAACTATGAAATGTAGCGTAGTAGAAACTAGTAAGCTGACTTAATTAAAAGATCCCTTAGACGATCTAAATCTGCATTCCCCTCAGTAGGTCACACCAAGGGACACCCATACCACATGACCAGGAGAGCCCTCTCCTGCAGCTCGTGCTCACCTCTGCTCCTACCAAGGAGGGAAGTCCTTACCCAAGTCAGTTGGGGACATTTCCAAGTTGTACTTATTGTAATTACCTAATAATTTAAGTTTTACATAAATCGTCAAAATATGAATGTGAAACAGATATTATTTCCCCAGGATAACTAAATTAGATACTTTAGGGAAGACTAAATAAAGGCAGGTAACATTTACAAATTACTATTAAAGCAAGGAACTGAGTAAATTATAGAAGAATCACAAAATCTGGCCTTCTCATTTGTACTTGCCAAGGGAAACTGCAGGGCAATAATGCGTCATAAGTACAATCTCTACAAGACAGAAAACTCCAACCAAAGGAGCCAACTCAAAGCAAAGACCTAGAGCCTATATCAAAAGACAGTTGAACAACTGTTCACTAATGTGGGTAAATTAAAACAGAACACTTATAGTGTGTACACAGCACCCTTTGTACTTGTTAAATTGGCTAACTGACCACTAGCTCCAATCATATTACAGAGAAGGCCTTGGGGCACCTGGTTGGCTCAGTCAGTACAGCATGTGACTCTTGGTCTTGGGGTCTTTACTTCAAGCCCCACACTGGGTGTGGAGATTAAAAGTAAAATCTTTAAAAAAAAAAAAAAGAGAGAGAGAGAGAGAAGGCCTTTAATCTGCTCTACACATGATGAGGATGTCTATGAACAATGGAAGGCAGTATGTCATGAAGTTGGCAAAGCACCGGGGTATCTAGAAGAGCTGACTGAGGAGCTCCTATATGGTTATCAGCACAACACTACTGTGGAATGACCACAAACCAAGTCGCCCCTCCAGAGCAAGTACCCCTGCTAGCTGGTCACAATGCTAATGCTGAAGGACGACCTACTTGACTCTGCCCTTTGCAGTAAGTTATCTTGAGGGTGCCCATTGAGAGTGCTATCTATCTCTTTTCCTATGAGGCAAGTCAACAGCAAAGACAGAATCTGATTTACAGAAATTCCCTTCACAAGTACTTCTGCAAAACTTCAGCTCTTCTGAACAGTAAGAAACAGCTGAGATTACCCCAGTCTGGAAGTCTGGCAGCTGAATTAGAAAGAGGCTGGCTCTCATGGCTTGGTTAGGCTAGGGCTTAAAAACCCACCACCAACTCCAACATAAATGGGCAAAGAAATCAAATTTATAAACAATCATACCATGTTTATCTTCACCAGTCATCAGAGAAAAGTAAACTAAAGCCACCTGACAATCCACTTTAGACCTAAAAACTTTTAGAGCTAACAACAATAGGAAATCTTTCAGGACAACTGAGAAACCAGTGTTTCATGAACTCCTAGTGGTGTTAGAAACTGGTAAACTGTTCTGAGAATCAACTGGGTAAATGGTATTAACATTTATTGTCATCTTTCAGATGATATGATATAAAGTCCAAATTTCCCTCAAAGCAATCTGGAGATAAGGAGATGGAGGTGAAACAAAATCAGGCATGATGTAGTAACTGAAGCTGGTAATGGACAAATGACAGTTCATTAAACTATTGTCCCTACTTTTGCATGTTTGAGAACTTTTATAAATTTCAATGGTATCAAAAGAAATATAAATGTCTATGCCCCTTTACATATTAACTTAATAAACACAAATAAAAAATGTATTCTAAAACATATTTAACAGGAATGAAAAAGAAAATCATTAGACGTTTAAAGTAATATCTACAATTGCAAACAGGAAAAAAAGAAAGTAAACAGCCAATACTAGAACGTTCAACTAATAATATATACCACCCAATATGATAATATGAAGTCATTAAAAATTATTTATGGAGATTATGTAGCACTCTGGATAAAATATGTAAAATTTTTAAATGAGAAAAGAAATGTAAAAAGTAATATATGACTGCAAAAATGAAAAATTTATTTTATATGGGAAAGGTAATTCAAACAAAAATAGTTGTGCTAAGATCACAGGACCAACAAATACTTCATTTTTTAGCATCAGCATTTTATTGGTTTTCAACTTGACATGACAGAAAGTCAAGCAAGCAGAATCCCTCATGGTCCATGCTAGTTGAGCGAACTGCATCAGACTGCAGGAACAGATGAGCAGAGAAACTCTTGTATTAGGTGCTAAAGTATGAGAAACCAAAGTAACCACCAATAGAGGGACACTTTGACTCAGGGCTGGTGACCCCTGGGCCTCCCTGTGGCATTAGCATCAGTGACCACTTACCTTTCTGATAACAGATTCTCCTTCCACTGCTTCTGTGTTCAGACATTGCACTAGGTTTGCTCACAACCCCCTCCAATTTCCTATCTCTCTCTGAGCTCCAAGCTCTTCTTCCAGGCTATTCACCAGCTCATTCTCTTATATGTTGATCTGACATGCCATGTCCCCTGCAACCTGCCCCTGCCTGACTTCCCCTGCTCTCCCGACATCTGGATGTGCCCTTGCTCTTCAGTCCATCAGTCACATGGCTCTCAGCCCCCTTGCCCTGACTGCAGACTCCAGCCTCACAGCCAGCATTTTCCTACACCTCCACCTTAGACCTCCCACTGTCCAAACTGCACCCAGGACTTGATGCTACCCACACAGGCCAGTTACTCACATCTACAATCTTTCTGAGGTAAGGTGAAAAACGGAAAAAATGCATCACAAGCCCAGAATAAATATAAGTACCTTCCAGGCCTTTACTTCACCTGCAAAAGGGCATATCACCTGAGTAGTGATAATTTTTGAAGGACGTTACCAAAAGAGAAAAATAAGAGAAAGTTATCCCTTAAAACTGGCCTCTTAGTTTGGTTGCTCCATAACATAAGTGAATACCAGTAAGTACAAATTCTCTCCTTGGGAACAAAACTAGATGCAATAGTGAAGTTTTTAAAAGCCTACTCTAACTTTCTAAGGTAGTATAAAAATATGTAATGCTTTTTATTTTATTTTTTTTTTATTTATTTATTTGACAGAAAGACAGCGAGAAAGGAAACACAAGCAGGGGGAGTGGGAGAGGGAGAAGCAGGCTTCCCGCGGAGCAGGGAGCCCGATGCAGGGCTCGATCCCAGGACCCTGGGATCATGACCTGAGCCGAAGGCAGACGCTTAACAACTGAGCCACCCAGGCACCCATGCTTTTTATTTTAAACACAGTAGCAGACCTATACCAGAAACATAGCTCACTTAACCTTAAACTGAGAAATACAAATCTTTCAGGACTCATCTACCCACTAAATGAAGAGAAATAAGGAATGGAAGGAATGGAGTTACCTGCATATGGGTACTGGTAGGGTACAGCATAAGCCTGCCCGTTCGCAGCATAGACAACTTGAGTTCCTGGTGGGTATACACCACTGTATGGACCATAGCCGTATGCCTGCTGAAAATAAATAGGCCCATCAGAAATACAGTTTTGAAATTCAGCATCAATTTGTAATAAAAATTCTCAACAAAGTGGGTGGAGAGGGAAAGTACTTCAACTTAATAAAGGTCATATATGACAAGCCCACTGGTGACATCATATTCAACGGTGAAAAGTTAAAAGCTTTCCTCTAAGATCAGGAACAAGACAATAAGATGCCCACTCCTACCACTTTTATTCAACATCATAATCAAAGTCCTGGAGAAAAAGAAATGAAAGGCAAATAAGTTGAGAAGTAATAGTAATAGTAATTGAGAAGGAATAGTAAAACTGTCACTATTTGCAGATGATATGATATTATACCTAGAAAACTCTAAAGAATACTACCAAAAAACTGTTAGAACTAAAAAAAGGAATTCAGTAAAGTTACAGGATACAAAATCAATATATACAAAACTGTTGTGTTCCTATACGCTAATAACTAACAGAATGACAAATTAAGAAAACTATCCCATTTACAATTATATCAGAAACAGAAAAACCTAGGAATAAATTTAACCAAAGAAGAGAAAGACCTGTACACTGAAAGCCATGAGACACCGAAGGAAAAAAAAAAAAATTGAAGGAAACACAAATAAAAGGAAAAAATATTCTATGCTCATGGACTGTAAGAATAGTTAAAATGTCCATACTATCCAGAGCAATCTGCAGATTCAATGCAATCCCAATCAGAATTCCAGTGGTATTTTACCCCCAGAAACAGAACAAACAATTCTACAGTTTGTATGGAATCACAAAATAACCTAATAGCCAAAGCAACGTTAAGGGAAAAACCATCAAAGCAGGAGACATCACACTCACCAATTTCAAACTATATGACAAAGCTACAGTAATCAAAACAGTATGATACTGGCATAAAAACACACACACAAATCAATGGAACAGAACAAAGAGCCCAGAAATAAACCCACACATATATGGTCAATTAATTTATGACAAAGGAGCCAAGAATATACTATAGGGAAAGGACAGTCTCTTCAATAAATGGTGTCTGAAAAACTGGACAGTCATGTGTACAAAATGAAACTGAAACACTATCTTACATCATACACAAAAATCAACTCAAAATGGATTAAAGACTTGAACATTAAGACCTGAAACCAAAAAACTCTAGTAGAAAAACAAAGATGGAAAGCCACCTGACATAGCTCTTAGCAATATTTTAGATTTGACACCAAAACAAAAATAAACAATTGGGACTGCAATAAACTAAAAAGCTTCTGGGGGCACCTGGGTGGCTTAGTCAGTTAAACGTCCAACTCTTGATTTTGACTCAGTCATGCTCTCAGGGTTGTGAGATTAAGCCCTGTGTCAGGCTCTGCACAGGGTGTGGAGCCTGCTTAAGATTCTCTCTCTCTGAAAAGAAGGAAAGATGGCGGAGGAGTAGGGGACCCTATTTCAACTGGTCCCTGGAATTGAGCTAGATATCTACCAGACCACTATGAGCACCCATGAAACCAGCCTGAGATGTAAGAAGATATGGATCTCTACAAACAGAATATCGCAGGCGGTTGGTTTTGAGGTACGGAGGTGGGAGCGGTGATTCCGCAGGCAGATATCGGAGGACAAACGGCAGTGGGAAGGTGCCTAGCCGTGGGACCCTACACCGCCAGTGAGCAACAGCCTCGCATGCTGGGGACGGGGCATAGACTCACAGGCCACTAGTGGCGGGGAAAGGACTTCAGGGCAGCCCCTGGGGCGGAAACCCAGAGCAGCTGGTGGTTTTAGAAGCACAAAGAGCAGAGACATGCCCTGACCTGGAGGCAGGACTGGGAACGCTGCAGAGGAGCTAACAACGCAGGCCGCTGCAGTTTATAGCAGCACAGACAGAAAGAGAGACAGTGTGTCCTCGAGAGCTCACTGGAGGACAGACTGCGGTCTCTGCTCTGAGGCAGAGGGTTGGAAATGGTCTCTTCTGTTCTGACTCGCGGAAGAGACGCGGAAAGCCGCCAGAGAACAAAAGCCCCCAAAACTGATTCCCTCTGAGCCCATCCCCCACCACAGAGGGGCAGGACAACTCCGCCCAGTAACTCAGTTGTCAGAGTGCCCCTCCCCCAAAAGACAGGCTGGGAAAACAAGAGGCCAGCAACCCTAAGGTCCCAAGAAAACAGGTGCTTCTTGCTTGGGTTCTGGTCGGTAATTTGGACTCTACAGGTTCCTTCAAACACCCATCAACAGAATGACTAGGAGGAGGAACCCCCAAAATAGAAAAGACTCAGAGATTATGACTTATGCTGCAGATTTACAAATGGATGCAGATATAACCAAGATGTTGGAGATGCAATTCTGGCTAGCAATTGTGAAGACAATGGCTAGAATGGATAAATCAATTAATGGCAACATACAGTCTCTAACGGCAGAAATGAAAGCTGAATTGGCAGAACTTAAAAATGCAATCAATGAGATCCAATCCAATCTAGATAATCTAACAGCTAGGGTAACTGAGGCAGAAGAACGAATAAGCGACCTGGAAGACAATAAAACAGATAAAAGGGAAAAGAGGAGACCAGGGAAAAACAACTCAGAATTCATGAAAATAGAATCAAAGAAGTAAGTGACACCATGAAGCGTTCCAATGTCAGAATAATTGGAATCCCAGAGGGAGTGGAGAGAGAGAGAAGACTAGAAGATGTATTTGAGCAAATCGTAGCTGAGAACTTCCCTAATCTGGGGAATGAAACAAACATTCCCATCCTAGAGGCAGAGAAAACCCCTCCCAAGATCAAGGAAAACAGGCCAACACCCCGGCATGTAATAGTAAAACTTGCAAATCTTAGAACCAAGGAAACCATCTTAAGGGCAGTTAGGGGGAAGAGATTCCTTACATACAGAGGAGAAACATCAGAATAACGTCAGACCTATCCACAGAGACCTGGCAAGCCAGAAAGGCCTGGCAAGACATATTCAGGGCACTAAACGAGAAGAACATGCAGCCAAGAATACTTTATCCAGCCAGGCTGTCATTTAGAATGGATGGAGAGATGCAGAGCTTCCAAGACCGGCAGAAACTGAAAGAATATGAGACCACTAAGCCGGCCCTGCAAGAAACATTAAGGGGGGTTCTATAAAAGGAGAAAGACCCCAAGAGTGATATACAACAGAAATTTATAGCGACAATCTATAAAAACAACGTCTTCACAGGCAACATGATGACAATTAATTCATATCTTTCAATAATCACTCTCAACGTGAACAGCCTAAATGCTCCCATAAAACGGCACAGGGTTGCAGATTGGATAAAAAGACAGGACCCATCCATATGCTGCCTACAACAGACTCATTTTGAACCTAAAGATACATCCAGACTGGAAGTGAAGGGATGGAGATACATCTTCCATGCCAGCGGACTTCAAAAGAAACCTGGGGTAGCAATTCTTTATCAGACAAATTAGATTTTAAACTGAAGTCTGTAATTAGAGACACAGAAGGACACTATATCATTCTTAAAGGGTCTATCCAACAAGATCTAACAATTGTAAATATCTATGCCCCCGACATGGGAGCAGCCGTCTACATAAGCCAACTGTTAACCAAAATAAAGAGTCATATTGATAACAATACATTAATTGTAGGAGACCTCAATACTCCACTCTCAGCAATGGACAGATCATCTAAACAGAAAATCAACAAGGAAACAAGAGCTTTGAATGATACACTGGACCAGATGGACTTCATAGATATTTACAGAACATTCCACCCTAAAACAACAGAATACTCATTCTTCCCGAGCGCACATGGAACTTTCTCCAGAATAGACCACATACTGGGTCACAAATCAGGTCTCAACCAATAGCAAAAGACTGAGATTATTCCCTGCATATTCTCAGACCACAATGCTTTAAAATTGGAACTCAATCACAAGAAAAATTTGGGAAAAATTCAAACACTTGGAAGCTAAAGACCACTCTGCTCAAGAATGTTTGGGTCAACCAGGAAATCAAAGAAGAACTTAAACAATTCATGGAAATCAATGAGAACGAAAACACATCAGTCCAAAACCTATGGGATACTGCCAAGGTGGTCCTAAGGGGGAAACACATAGCCATCCAAGCCTCACTCCAAAAAATAGAAAAATCCCAAATTCACCAACTAACGCTACACCTTAAAGAACTAGAGAAAAAGCAACAAATGATGCCTAAGCCATGCCTTAGAGAGAAATAATTAAAATTAGAGCAGAAATCAATGAATTAGAAACCAGAAACACAGTAGATCAGATCAATGAAACTAGAAGTCGGTTCTTTGAAAGAATTAATAAGATCGACAAACCACTGGCCAGACTTATCCAAAAGAAAAGAGAAAGGACCCGAATTAACAAAATTATGAATGAAAGGGGAGAGATCACGACTAACACCAAGGAAATAGAAACAGTTATTAGAAATTATTATCAACAACTATATATGCCAATAACCTGAGCAATCTGGATGAAATGGAGGCCTTCCTGGAAACCTATAAACTGCCAAGACTGAAACAGGAAGAAATTGACAACCTGAATAGGCCAATAACCAGTAACAAGATTGAAGCAGTGATCAAAAACCTCCCAAAAACAAGAGTCCAGGGCCTGAGGGATTCCCTGGGGAATTCGACCAAACATTCAAAGAAGAAATAATACCTATTCTACTGAAGCTGTTTCAAAAAACAGAAACAGAAGGAAAACTTCCAAACTCACTCTATGAGGCCAGCATTACCTTAATCCCCAAACCAGGCAAAGACCCCATCAAAAAGGAGAATTTCAGACCAATATCCCTGATGAATATGGATTCCAAAATCCTCAACAAAATCCTAGCTATTAGGATCCAACAATATATTAAAAGGATCATTCACCACGACCAAGTGGGATTTATCCCCGGGATGCAAGGGTGGTTCAACATTCACAAATCAATCAATGTGATAGAGAAGAACCATATGGTCCTCTCAATTGATGCAGAAAAAGCGTTTGACAAAATACAGCATCCTTTCCT